CTTACGTACTCGTATAATTAAGTCCTATCGTAAAATTTCACTAGAATCTAAATAAATGAAGATCGATACTCCAGAGAGTTTATACGACTGTTTATGTAATAAATGCACTATTATTAATATTTACTTATATTTTACATCAATCTTAATGTACAATATTGTAAATATATTTATTTATTTCTTTTTACTCTTTAAAATTATTTAATGTAGGTGCAGACAAGACTTACAATGATTTTATTTTTATTTAGATTGCCCCATTTGGAATTACAAAATAGGAATAACTCTTGTGCAACTCTCAAAGTTATATATCATTATAATACATCAACGTCACTCGAACTTGAGCCTACGATGATACCAACGCGCGACATTCCATTTCAGGGCTGTCATCTATCCAACTTCTATTTTTTTTCTAGTTTAAAATGCTACTAAAATGAGGTCCCACAGTTTTTATCCCATTACGTAGATAATCCAAAAAAAAAACAACATATCTATCTTTTGAAAAAGTAATTTACTGATAATATATCAACGTATGCTAAAAAAATATATTGCAATATAAATTTATATCCAAAACAAATAAAATATTTAATAAAAAACGGAACATTTTCTTTAAGACTGGATTTATGCTATAATGCCATTCTCGAAAAACACTTCGAAATATATCGTGGCTGGAACGAAACTGAACTGATCAGTAATATATATGTACACATTGTTTCTTACGTAATAATATTTTACCAGACCGAGAAAGAACCGAAAACGAACCGAGTTTTTTAAGAAAATCCTATTTGTAAACATAAAATTTTTACTTATTACTTTAGATACAAGTTATTAATATGACAACCCTAATCATTCCCAGACCAAATAGAATGAATAGCCCCTTAACAGCGCCTATTTCGGTATGTCTTTAGTTAGACGATATGTTACTCGATTCTATGCTTTTGGATATGATAAATATTCCTAATCTGTAACATTTTTTTTTTTTTTACTTTAATATGAAAATAAAATAAAAATGTTAACATTTTTGTTTAAATTTAAAATGCACCTCCTCTTTTTATACAGAGAGTTGTTGGTTAAGATTAGTTATAAGAATTCCATGAATATTTTTACTTAACGATCTCTTTCTAAATATATTTTTATACTATTAAAGAATATGTTTCACAAAAAAAAATCAAATTCAATTATGACAAATTAAATTAAAGTTATTTTGATTTAAATACTAAACTACTGAACCGATTTTGATAAAATTAGACCAATCAGTAAGTATATCCTTTCAGATACAAAATAATTCTAAATCGTTTTAGAACTAACACAATTGTGTGGTAATAAACATAAGAAAATATAACCGAATTGGAAACCTCCTTCTTTTTGACGTCGGTTAAAAAAAGGTGTAAAGCATACGATCTGCCTGACAATAAACGTGAATGTATGAATATTTTGTACAAATTTTCAGACTTTTTGAAATATAATAGCATATTTAATATTAAACTTAGTGAACCTTCATCACCATATCAGCCAGAGGGAAACTTTGTACAAAAGTCGATTGCTTAGGTACCTCTGTCCCGTTTGTGTTCCAACCGTGAAGCAGTTGTGTTTGCATGGCTGTGTTTCGGTTTGAAGGGTGGAATATGGCGTGAATTTACTGGGTACAGAGGAATAACACCTGAGTCCTCAGGAATGGCAACGCATGGGAGGTATCATGGGCGAAACAGTATACTCTGTTATATCCATGGTACTGCTCATGTCTATAGGCGACGGTTACCACTTTCCATCAGGTGGGCCGTCAGCTTGTTTGCCATTCTAAGTTGTTTAAAAAAAGCCGTTAACTGTCCACTGCTGAACATAGGCATTAGGCATTGCCTGCAGTTGTCACGCTTAGCAGGCTGATTGACAATCACGGTTAGGCTTTGGTGAAGTTTTAAAAGAGATACTACTGCCCATTCCCCGATCATTTAGTTCCTTTAGTCGGCATGGGACATGGGAAAAAAGAATTGAAATATGATTCATATTATTATTCTGACTTATAAATTGCAATATACGCTGCATGCAATAGACACATGGCTCAGCACTCATATGGAATATGTAAACAAATCATGTAACAATAATACCGCATAACCAGACTGTTACTATATTTATCATCTGTATATTCATTTGATAGCCTTGCTCTAAAATATGTAATGTAAACAAAATAAATTAGTGGTTTTATTTTAGTCCGCACATTTCAACGACAGTGCCTATACAACTGCATTAAATGAAATTTAACATTTGATCGAAAAAAAATTAAAAGCATTCGAACCAATATCTTTGGTTTTGCTTTTAATTATTATTTTCTTTCGACTGGTGTTTCTTTTTTTGAATTCTTTTCCATATTATTGGTTCTAGTTTTTTCCATTTGTTTACCACAAAAATTACAATTATGAACTTTCCCTGAATAATTTTCTCCTGCAGCACTATGTTTTTTGCTTAAGATCTTTATGGTGTTACTAAAGCGGTCTTCTCTACAAATAAGACAGTTACCTATTTTCAACTCATAAAATTAGGTATAGACGATTATTGTTCATCTAATTAACTATCAACTTGTTTGCCACTTTCAATACGAGTTTTGAAATTAGGTATTTCGTCCTCAAGTATATTAATTAGCATTAGATGAATTAACTTTATATGCTTCTACCTAGAAATAAAGAAATAAGACCATACAAGTACCCAAACAGCTAACATTGTCAGCGTTACCTAATAGATTGAAACATGAACTACTATTCTGCTGTAATATGCTTATATATTATTGTGAAAACAATAAGAATAAGAATTATATTAACAAATTTTTCATTCTTTAGACACGATAAAACAATTTTTTTAAGTGATTATCTCATTTTAAAATAGATGTGTTGGAACATTTGAATACGAATAATCGATTTTGTATTACTCAAAGTCAGAAAAAAGGGCAAGGAAAATCGAAAACCTATTACCTATTCACCCTCAAATTAAACACAAAAGAAACCCATTCAATTCTGTAATTTCCAATTTTAAAACGAAATGCTCATTTCTGTTTTTAAAGGGTCGTCCTTCCTAAGAATCGCAACATTACGGTATCCTTCCAATTTTGTGGTTTGATAATATTAATTACTTGAGATACGATTTATTATTTTTAAATTGAATCTGAGGTACACCCCACTTTATAGGTTTATATTGAAGTATAAACAATTCTCACTTGTATTTCTGCCGCTATGCTATTTCAGATTTAAGGTTTATGACAATCCAGTACAGACAAAAACATATTCATCATTTGTATACATATTATTATGTTATATTTGTTTTTAAAACTAGCAACACTGGAGTACTATAAGAATTATGATGTATTCTGTGATATCTATTTTGTCGTTCATATCGACAAGTGACAGTAGATATGTTTAATTTTAATTGTTACGCTTATATGAAAGATAAATGAAACATTGTATTATGTAAAATTAAAACAATTACTTATATATATATATATATATATATATATATATATATATATATATATATATAATGACAAACAAAAGCTTCAACAAAATTCTACATTCTGCTAATCTATACATCATTTTCAAAACAAAATTGAAGAGAGATCTGCAGTCTTCGATTTCAAATTTTCTACTTTCTCGAAGGTCTTTTTTTATGTTCGAATACCTACTCAGAGTTATCATAATTGACATTTTATGTTACTGATATGGCACAGACGACTATAGCGACGGCGCCTCGACTGCCGGCTGGCAAAGATAACAAAGAGTCCTGCGCCACTGTCGCTAATATATTCCGGTGTGTTTAACTATTGTTGAAAATTACATACAATATTTCGTCATTTATACTAACTGTGTAGCCACATAATGAATTTGAAATGAATAAATACATCTCTACATGAACAAAACGTTTCGTGTCCATTAAAACTATTATTAAATTTCGGGTTGTTTTGTATAATGTATTTAAATATTTTGCCCCATAAAAAAATCAACTTCAATTGTAACAGAACTAGTTATTTTGAGTTAAAAATCAAACTATTCAATTGATTTTGATAAAATTTCTATGGGACCAATCTGTAATTATATCCTTTCAGGCAAAAAGAAATTTTCCAAATCGGTTTAGAACTGGCGGAGTTCTGAGGTAACAAACGTAAAAAGATAATGCAACCGGAACGAGAACCCCCTTCTTTTTTGAAAAAATTGAAACCCATTATAAATTAGAGACCTTAACCAATGAAAGTGAAATAATTTTATTAAAATAATAGATATCATAAATCAGGAAAATAAAAATGTAAATACAAAACTACCAGAGCAGAAAAAAATATCAGTTTAAGGTACGTTGGTAACCCTAGTCGTTTGTCATTATTTTTATAGGCACTCTATGACATGAAATAATAAGGGAGTTTAATGGAAAATTGTAACATTCCTTGACGGACATAAAAATATTTAATATTATAAATATAAATATTATAAATAATTATAAATAAGTATATATCACAAATTTAATTGCTCCAGCACTTCCAACCAAATACTTTTCCACTCTTTAAAACTAAAGTTGTGCTTACAATTGCTCTCCTCGTAGCTATGATACCCTGCAGTCAAATGCATAAAAACGCACGTGTTAATAAAAATCACGGTCACACAGAACTATACAAGCTAATAAACAGCTATAAATTTAATATCTATCAAGAGATATAAATTTAGATCTTTTTAACGATTTCTCTATTTAAAATATGCGAACGCACTGAAATACTTAGTAATCAACATCTTAATAATTTGTCTTGTTACTTTCCAGGTGGACTATTGGTTTACTGCTAACACCGCTGGCGAAATTAGAGCAAGGCGACCAACATAGATGCACATTTAGATAAATTATGCGCTTACTATGTATACATATGCTAGTTTGACAGTGACGTCCAGTCATTTCAAAATAAAAACATCCACCACTATAGTGGGTGCGGGCAACCAAAACCAAACGCAACGAACATCGTGCGAATGCAGCCGAACACGATCTTTACTCAGCAACCAACCAATTCAGTCCGTTGAAGGCCGCGGGCGGGGCGGCACGTGTGGTGCGCGCCTCGCGTTCGTCATTGTTTTTATATACCATTGTTTAATTCCCTCCGACTGCAATCGATACGACATTCGAGAGTAGAAATACGGCCTAGCTGCATTTTCAACGATCTGAGTGTGAATCAAATCAAAAGACAATAAAATAGTGTTATCAGGATATCGCACAAAAAGGTGACTTATTGACAAGTGAAACTCTTTAACGTTCCATTTATCCATGGATGGTTATGTTTGGATGTTTTGTTGATGAACTGTTTATTATGTTCAAGTGATATCTGTTGCAAAGGAGTACAAGCAAATCAATAAACGGGTTTATATTCAGCAAGTATCTGAGAACTCCTACTGTGCGCTTTATTACCCCGTTGCATATTGATTGCTTGTTTCTGAATTTCTGCAAATTGTCATTTAGTATATATTGGTAAGACATATTGTAATTAATTTGTTTCATACGTTTATGGTATGTTAAAAAAAAATTGTCTCAGATCCTGAAAATATATGTTACGTTCAATGAAAATCATGTCATCTACATATATGAAGATAAAATTTATAATCTAAAGAAAAATACATTTTGAACAGAGAACAAAAAATTACTATTCATTTTTTGGAAATAATAAAGAAATTTTGTTGCTCTCTTACTTTACCAAGCCATTAACTTTTAACTATTGAGCACAAGACAATGCTTATTTTTTTTTGTCGCAAAAATAATAATTAATGTTATTGGTAGTAATACAAGTGTACCTGAATTATACAGGAAAATTTCCATTGTGTCCTTTGTAAGTAAAGGATATAACCTGAAAATTAAATTTGAAAGTAAACATGAAAATAAGGAAACATTACATTAGTAATAGGCATATTTAATATAAACATACGAAATGCCTATACACCTATTTGTATTTAATAACTGGCGTAGATGCCACAAAGAAAACCAAGACACATTAAGATAATTCTAAAATCAACGTGTGCCTAATTAGCAATAACAATAAAGAAAACAACATTTTACTTTTTGAAGTTTAATAATGTTTATCTCTACTATTCATTAATTATATATACCAGCAGCAAAGTTTTTACAATAACTTTTTTTATATGTTACAAAAATATATCGAAAACGATTTTAAGTCAATTGCCAACTGTTACCGTTGCAAATTTCTTAGTCAAAAACAAAAAGAGCATAAAAGAACTAATTTATTTGTATATTAGCGACTATAGATGATTTTCAACAATTTCTTCTGTCCTTACAAATACGTTTTGTATATTTGATCCTTCAATTGCCATAAATGTACCTAATCCATGTGACCTCGATACAAATTGGCTTGGAAGTCTAATAGGGTATCTTACTCGCATCATAATAGAAGCCAATGAGCAATAGAGGATCTAATCTTTTATACCCCAGTCGTATAACTAGGATTAACTAGATATCTATGAGAACCATTCACCTATTATATGCAAGGTCGGTTATAGTAGTGTTATTTCACACGATATTATTTGGTTAGTGAATTTTATTATTGACATGAGACGTTAATTGCAAAACATACAACCTTCATTGACTTTATACTGATATCAGTATATACCCTTTTTCGAATGTACCGAATTATTACGTTTAGACAATGAAATCGAAGAGGTCAAAGGAGGTTATCTGCATCTCACTACTACCTGCTGGCCTCGTAAGCGAGCTTTAGATACGAATACAATGGACTAGAAGCCGAATGAGGCGCTGCAGGTAGAATAATATCTAATACATGCTTTTGAATGTTTCCGTAGTATATTGTATTATTGTAATATGCCACATGGTTATTTTTGCCTTTAAACTAAAAATAATATTTTTTTCCTTTTCCAAAAAATAGAGATAAAAAGGCAGCTGAAGCTAAACGAGTTAGGTACTCAATGAGCATGAACATGTCAGATGTTTTTGAACGCAAAACGGTAACAAGACTTTTGAAAAATCTGGAAACACGTTACAGCATACCTGACCGCAGGGACAAGGGGAGCTCAACCAGTTTCGTCACCTGGTAGCACATACGTACGCACACAGCTGAAACACCTTGAATGCTCAACTCGTTCCATTATTGTTCAAACCAGTATTTGCCAACCATCAAAGAAGCTGGTGAAAATATCGCTCCAGAATTATATACAACACGTACCAAGTATTATAATTACATATGAAACGAAATGTAATAACATATGTGTTGTCTAATGTATGATAGATATTGTTGAATTATAAAAGAAAGCAATCTATATAGGGTGAGACGATATTTCATGCCAGAACACCGCCTGAAATTATATAAAGCCCAAGTCAGGCCGCATATGGAATACTGTTCTCACCTGTGGGCAGGAGCGCCACAGTACCAACTCCTTCCGTTAGACCGCATTCAAAGTCGGGCGGCTCGAATTATCGATAGTCAACGCCTTACTGTCCGACTTGACCCATTGAAACTGCGCAGAGATGTTGCGTCTCTGTGCATCTTCTACCGAATTTATCATGGGGAGTGTTCTGAGGAATTGTTCGGATTGATACCTGCTGCTGATTTTCACCACCGTACAACCCGCCACAAACTAAAGTTTCATCCCAATCATCTGGACGAGTGGCGGTCTTCCACCGTGCGTTTTTCAAGGCACTTTCTTCCACGCACAACCATTCTTTGGAATCAACTTCCAGCAGCAGTATTTCCGAACCGATACGACAACATAACCCTCAAGAAAAGAGTATATTCCTTTTTAAAAGGCCGGCAGCACACCTGCAATGCCGCTGGTGTTGTGGGTGATCATGGGCGGCGGTAGTCACTTACCATCAGGTGAGCCGCATGCTCGTTTGCCCCCTGTGTTGTAAAAAAAAAAAAAAAAAAAAAAAACAATAAAAAACTAATAAATCTTTTGCATTGCAACCTATTAATTTTTTTATTTGTTGTTCTCTCACAATCTACAGTGATGTCATGTTGTTTTTTGTACCTATGCATACTTTCTATGATGAGTTGACGATAGAAAATAAAAGTAATGTGCAATTATTGTATATCCTCTACCGGTGTTTCGAAAGTATCGTGACTCAGTGTCTGTTGCATTCATAATCATTCATTCATATGTATGATTTTAACTTTGCAAACAAAATAATTAGAAATATTACTTTTTGTTTACTTATTTACCGGCAACCTTTGACAATTGTTAAGAAGTTACAGAAACAAGATCAATGGTTACCATACCACCAAGGATAAGAGCAGGTGAAAAATAAGTTGATAGAAATAAGGATAGTAGGTATTTTACTTTGCTCTCCTAAATAACTGTTATTATTCATAAATTTTAAAAGATTTAAAAGATATATACTGAAAATTTCATTAATTCTTTTATGTTAATAACGACAGAAACATGTATAATAATCCAAATTTATCAAATATTGGACCACAATTATTTTCTTCAACATATTTCATTAGAATTATTCTCTCAAGCTATCTTAGTATATGCTGCCAAGCATATCTAAGCCCTTATTCATTCCATTAATATTCCACAGACTCTTTGTGGTCAAAAATTCCTTTTTAAGGCATGATTCATCATCAACATTTTATTGTAACGAATTTTTACGCTCATTTGTTTTTTAATTCCTTCTTAACACACATTGTGTTGTTAAGGTGCTTCAATATAATATTCTTCTTTATCCGTATTCCCAGCTCACAAACTTCGTTTCATCATAAGCATCGTTTTATCGGTATTATCTCACAGTGTTTCATATTTCAGAGTCCCAAGGTGCTTTCGGCATGTTATGCTCATTAATTTCGTTGGTTAACGTGAGTTCGTATGTAATCTTCGACCTTAATCTAAAATAGCCTAGATTTACAGTCTACATTTTGTTGGTTTGACCCGTAATTATAGTTAGTTTAAATAGTTTATAAGTTATTGATATACTCGATTATTATTCATTTAATTATACATTTTAACAATTAATCTTGATAGATGGTAATTTATAAATGTAAAGTCAGTGATTTTGACCAAACAGTTTAGAATTACTACTACACTTTGTTTAAATATTACATGACAAATAAATAACATACATTAATGTTAAAATTATTTGTATTTTTCCTCCTAGTTTTATCATTACTAGTTACACATGTGTTATAATATTTACACACCGTAATATATACTGTAATAATTCAATTTAGAAATAATTTTAAATATAAATAAAATCAGTGCTTATAATTTCTTTAATTATGAATATTTGATTTTGCATTAATTATTTCAAAAGTCCACTCTTAAAAGGCGACAACGGAAATCGCCAATATACAGACATATAACTGTCGTCCAAAGTATATAAGGATAATTATGTTGACCTCACCGGCATATTATCCCACAATAAAGAATCCTAACGCAAAGTACCAAAAGAGATCCAACCCAGAAGGGAATGAAAGAGAAGATTACAAATTTCCGCAGTTTCACGCAAAATATTATCGTTTTGCCCATACTTACTGGCAATTCGTGTGAATTCTTCATATTTCACCATTTTACAACATTTTGGGAAACAAATACACTACATAACTGTTAAAAATGAACAACATACTTGCTTAACAGAATCGTTTCCCAAAATAGTCGATTTTGACAAATTTTTATGCTACTAGTAAATTGAAATAAAATATGACCTAGCGACTTACCCGTTGACCTTAATTTTCATGTGATATTGTGTTCAACTTTAATTAAGCACAGCTAAAACTGAATAACATTATGCAAAATTTGGCACAGTCTCATTTTGTTAATATGCATAAAGCAAAACTACATTTTAAGAAAATAAATTATGACTGACTTTAACTAAGTCAATAACTTTCTTCTTTTACATATATTATGTTACTTATAGTATTGCAAATAATAATTGATATGTACACATATTAAACTGTCATTTCCTACAGTGATCCAAATAAAATAGGAACATTCTATACCACGCGCAAACAGATAAGAGCACTTTATGAATACCTACATTGATGCCTACCTATTTGCACGCCCATGAAATCTAATACATGTGATACGTCAGAGTTTAATATCTACGTACCTACAAATTATTTGCGTCACTAATATTATTAAATAACCGTAGAATAACATGGAACTTGTGATAAATGTTTTCTTCCATTGTAAGTTCTATGAATGTCCTTATGGCTTTCCGTAAACTGGAGCTATCCATTTCAACGGTGACATTGCATCTTGAGAATATCAAGTTGATACTCTAAATATTTTATAATAACGAACATTTAATATAGTAACTACCTAAAGTATGTGAATCATTATTTATAACTTCGATTTCTGTACTTCCCGTATTCCCTACCTTTTTTTTATATATATTATTAGTGATAGATTATATTTCTACAGTCTGTATTCTACTAATAAAAATTAAATGTAAAGACATTATTTGCAATAGACAGACAACCGTCTAACATAAGCCAAATGATCACA